TTCACTTACACTCGTCCAACATGTTCGAGTAAACTCATCAAACAAACTTAAGTTGCCCGATTACGCAGCCCTAGTCTTACCTTTCCTTGGGGGTTAGACGTAAATAACCATATATTTAGAGGTTAGGAAAAATGGTTTCGTAAATTGACCTTCAAACTTACTAGCTCATATCTCATTATCTCAACCATACTTGCTTATTGAATTACGCAATCTCGGTCAAGGTTTTCTGTTGGGTTATTAGGCCTTGATGATCATTAGCCCTTTGACAACTCTTATCTAGGACCGGTATTGCATATAGACGCTAACATACACACATGCACACACGTACACACCCGAATAAAAGTAACTGGAGCAATATGAAAGATAATTTACCAAACCACTCTATGTCGATCTATCTAGGTTTTTTTATTTTATATTGGCTCTATTAAGTCTATATAAGAGGTAAATTAAAGCCGGATAGTGCTATTTGCCTAGTGCTGACGTGAGGCTCTTACAATGATGACATTCAGCTCTGATGAGGTGCATTATATGATGGATGAAAGTTCACCAGATTTTTACCCGAAACGAGGGAGGAAGCTTAGTGGACTGGGTCAACATGAATATGGTATAAAAGCCAAACGGCTGCAGTACAACGAGACTCATTTGTTCTCATCTGGTGAGATCGACCAACGAATCTCTCCTTTATACACTTTCATACGAAATGAACGTCCCCCTAAAAATATTATCTCAGGAGATTTATCGAAATCCAGTTTCTCTTCGAATCTTCTTTTTCATTGTAATTATTCCTTCTCCCCCTGACTTATTGAATCCAACTATCATCTCTTTATTCCTCAAGTTCCAACACTGGTTTTTCTATTCAAGGTGTTTGCTGTCCTATCAAATATTCTATACATCACTGGTTGAGTAAGGCGAAGTATGTATTTGAGTAAGTGGTCATCACAATGCCAATAAATTTCACCGAGTCTTCAGGAAGGATTCCTCATTATTAATGAACTGCTTCGAAAATCTGACATATGCTTTAGGTTGCAACCTTTTACCACTATGCCACGGCCACATTCGTCAGTGTGCCATATGGAATATTCCCTGTAGACTGAGATGAATAATAAAATGTGAAGTGATACGAAGTTTCATTTCAAAGGAAAGGTATTTTTCTCACAGGAACTCAAGGGAGGTTTGCTTCTGAGTATAGACGTTTGGAATGCGCGAAGATGTCCTCTGTTTAAGGTTCTGCGAAAACGATGAATCTGTGCATAATTTACATAGCTCTTGCCGTAGCAGATAAAATTATGACGAGAAAATATCATTTTCAATAAAATCAGCAACACATCAAACGAAGAAAAGAGGCCAGATACAAATATATTCTCTTCTTACAGCTAACTTTGTAATCCCACTTAGACATCTCATTATTTATTTGGAAAATTATTGCTTTAAGACAAATGAAGTTGTTGCATGAAGAGGATATGGATGTAATATGCTTTTTACTTACTTAAATAGATTAAAGTTTGATCCTGTAATGCTCTATGGTTGTATTTGATTCGAGTCTATTCAATGCTTATGTACCATGTGAAGTTGGAGAGCCCTAACAAAACTACAGGTTGACCAAATATCCTCATCGTGAATAGTTTTTAGTTCCCCAATCTGCATAACAGTCACAAATAGCTACAAATTAGTTTTCTGTATTCGTATTTTTTATTTTAGTCGCGGTAATTCTCCATAGAGTGCAAAACTTTAAGTTTTCATTTATTCTTTTCGGTCTCTTGCATTCGCCAGTTGTTTGTTCAGTTAAGTTTTTGGGACACAGCATATTACTGGTTGTTTTGTGCTCATACAAAGCCTTCGGCAGGTAGAGACACTAGCATATAAATACGAAATGTTGTTAATCAGTGAGCATTTTTAAGGAAAGTATTTGCCTCCATTTATACCTGTCTCGAACACTCCGCTTTAAAAGTTCTCTATTTTTCCCGCTAACTGACAAGCTGGCAGCATCAGAAATAATGTGAACTTTTTCAACTCACTGCCTTTTCTTAAATACCTATTTACGTTTGTGTCGCATATCAGCCATTAAGGAAGCCCAGTTTCTCAGAAAGTTAATTATCCTTTGATCTTCCCATTTCCTAATCCCAGTTTAACATATCTGCTGAAAGCTGACTTTTTACCTCAATAAATATAATCTACTAGCCCATTTATATACCAATAGATAATTTAGTTGTCGCGTCTATTAGACTTATTAACATGTGAAATCCTTCTAGATTCTCTTAATAATTCTGCCAAGCAAAGCGAACTGCTTG